TGATTCTGAAAGAACACATGTTAATTAAGTAACTTGTTGAGGGCAGATCTATCTAGGATAGGATAAGAATCTTGCGACCCTCCAGATGCTGGTGGACTACAATTCTCAGCTTGTTATGCAATACTGACGAGGGCTGCTGAGAAATGCAATGCAACAACATTTGGAGACCTGCTTGATTTCTAGCCCTGGTCTAGAATATAAAATATTAAATATAAAAGTGATGTTGCATCTGAGCAAAGACCCATCTCGTCCAAAAGTCTGTTCATACAGTGGCCAAAATCAGTTGTCTATGGGGAACCTGCCAGCAGGACTGAGGTACAACAGCAACTTCAAGTTCATATCAGCAACTTATATATAGAAGTAAACTGGAATACACATCCACCCACCCACAGAGCCACCTTGACTAGTAAGCCATTGATGGCCCTCTCTCCATTAATTATTGTTGTTGTTTGTCTTGTTGTGTGCCTTCAAGTTGTTTCCAACTTATGGCAAACATATCATGGGGTTTTCTTGGCAAGATTTGTTCAGAGATGGTTTGCCATTGCTTTCCTTTGAGGCTGACAGCATGTGACTTGCCCAAGGTCACCCAGTGGGTTTCATGGCCAAGCTGGGAATCAAACTCTGGTCTCTAGAGTCATAGTCCAACATTCAAACCACTATGCCTCTCTCTCTCTCTCTCTCTTGACTAATAAGCCATTAATGGCCTCCTCTCTATGAATGTGTGTGTGTCCATCTTGACTAGTAAGCCATTGATGGCCCCCTCTCCATGAATTAAACCAATCTCCTTTTAGAGCTGCCTGGGTCAGCAACCAAAACATCTGGCAGTGAATTCTACAATTTAACTCTGTACTGTGTAAAGACATGCTTCATTTTTATTTCTCTTGAATCTCTCACCATTTAGTTTCAGTGGATGACCCCCATGTTTTAGTATCATGAGAGAGGCAGACAATCCTGTCCCTGATCTATTTTCTCCACACCATGAATAATTTCATGCACTTGTATCAGGTCTCCACTCAATTACCTTTTTTTCTAAGCTAAACAGCATCAGAACTTGTAAGTTGGGGTATTGTGTTGTGTTCCCACCTTCTCTTGTTCTAAATACAGTGGAAAAATTAGAAAAGGAGGGGAAAAAACCCCCATTATTGTGAATATTGTTGCTGGGAGTTAGGACACCAATCCAGAAATGCACAATTATTTCCCAATGAAACCAGTGTGATTTACAGTAATGCACATTTAACTGTACAGAAAAACCCCACATATAGCAATAACAGTTAGGTACAGTATCTTAACTAGAAAGGACCAAGAAAGAATGCAGCAAGGCAGTATTAAAACTGATCTCATATCTCCGGTGGAGTTAAGGAGCTTGTCTAAACAAACTAAAATGGGAGGACACAAACTTTAATGCAAACTGGCTAGATAATGCTTTCCCCAACTCTGAGCGTAGTATCTTTTTTAAAGGCATGAATTGTTTTAGTGATCAGAGGTACATATGAATAATCTGAATCGATTATTACAAGGAGCACGCTGTAAAGAGGAAATGATAATGGGAATGTCACAAAGTTGTAGAAATATGCTTAGGTGGCTTGGGCAAGTCACACTGTCTCACGCTCAAAGAATGGCAATAGCAAACTCCCCTCTGACGAAACCTGCCAAGAAAATCCTGTTGCCTTAGGCTTAGGGTCACCATAAGTCAGAAATGACTTGAAGGCATAGAAGAACAACAAATGAAATAAGGTATAGGTAACTTGTACAGACTGGTACAAATTCCCAATTTACCCATTAATTAAATTAAATTAAAATAAACATAGAGAATGGTAGCTTTCTCTGACTATAAATCATTAGTGCATCATCACATATTCTGCATACATAAAGTCCCAGGTTCAAATACCTGACATTTTCTGCTTGGGTCAGAAAAGATGTCTATGTATAATTCTTAAAGAGCTATCTCCAGCCTATGAAGTAGAGACAATACTGAGCTTGACACACTTAAATCTCTGATTTAATATAAGGAAGCTTCCCATGAATTTTTGTTACCCTTGTAGGGCCAGTAAGTATTAAAGTGATTAAATGGCTTAGATTAATATAGTTAAATGGGGCACACGAGGATAAAGTTAATTCAGCAATAAATCTTTTGCATGCTCTTGGCCAATAAATTAAGATAGCTGAGTTGGAATATTTTATATTCAATAAGAATACTGCCATAAACAGGCATTTCACCAGCTCAGTGGAATTCTTTTTATACTGTAAACTGCTTCCTAACAATTACGTAGATAGAGCAGATGTGCTATTATAGCCCTATTTGGATGAACTGAACTACATGCTTGGCAGGACCAAAGCCCTTCATCACATTGTTACTCCTACTTTCTAGGATAGGGATGGGGGCATGCAGCCCACCATGGGTCCTTTCACACTGCATATTTCTAGTATAATGGTTCCACTTTAACCGCTATGGCTTTACTCCATGGAATCCTGGGATCTGCAGTTTGGGGATGGGCATTTAGACTTATCAGCCAGAGAGCTCTAGTGCACCAAAACAAACCCCAAGATTCCACAAGATGCAGTCACGGCAGTTAAAGTGGAGCTGTAGTGCTATAACTGTATTGTATGAAAGAGCCTCTGATAGTGCTGTTCTAAATCTTCCATGATTCCTCACCTTGACTATGCTAGGACTGCAGCCCAACAATATCTGGAAGTCCAAACAATTGGAAGTCCATACATTTTCTACTTCTGCTTTAGATACATCCATTGCAGTATGGAAGAAGACTTGTGTGCTTTCAAAATGCACAGGATCATATAAAGAGATGTTTGGGATCAAACCTGATAATGTAACCTCTCTTTGGTTTGATAAGGAATTGTGACAGACATCAATTTGCCTGTGCTTTAGCCATAAGGAATTCTGCACAGGCGAGGATAACAAAATCCACCACAGTAACAGTTAACTTAAAAAACAACACCAGAATGCCACAAAATGAAGACGTTAGAAGATAATTAAAGGGAGTCAAAAAAAGAACCCTGCCACTTCACAAGAAATATACTGTACTTCTCCAAATGCAAGAATCAAAATGCTAACAAATTTAATTATCCAAACACTAAAAGACAGAAAATAATTACAAAGGATACTAGCATGAGTAAATATGAAATGCTTAAGAAGATTATTATCATGATCTTTATTAGAGGTAGCTCTAGAGTAGCTTTATGCATCAATGTACTCTGATCAAGAAGCCATTGTGGCAGAAGAAAGATTTCCCAGACTTTTCCCTATTAAGCAAGTGTGGACTGTCCTCTAGAACAGCCTTCTCTGATGACTATGCTGTCTGGGGATGATGGGAATTGTAATCCAATAAATCTAGGCAGCAAACAGAGCAGACAGATCTGTTGCTTGAAAACATGAACCATGCATTTTCTATCCCAAATGTCAGCTTGGCCATCTCTAATCCTCAACACTTCCATCTGCAGCAATGGAATAATCATCTTAAACATACTGAGCTATTGCAAGAATTCAAAAATATAGCCATGTTAGTCTGTAGAATCAGTACATAAAGAGATCTCATAGGATCTTTCAAACTAACTGAAAGAAAGAGGTTGGCAGCATGAGTTTTCCTAGACTTAAGTGTATGTCCTTAGATGCACTGTAGACTTAAATCTATGAAAGCTCATGCTTCCAACCTCTTTCTTTCAGTTAGTTTGAAAGGTGCTACAAGATCACTCTATATACTGAACTATTCCAAGTATTTTATTGATTTATTTAATTTATTTTTAGCATTTATATCCCATTCATCAGCCAAAAAGTCTCCCAAAGCAGCTTACAAATTGTTGATTTGACAGTTCCTTGACCTCAGGTTTCCAATCTAAATAAGACAAGAAATATATGGAAAAGGGAATGGCAATAGGAGCAGATACTATCTATTCTTTAATCCACTGCTGTGGAGCTATGCCTTGAGGTTGAGGCACAATTATATACAAAGTGTTTTGAGTGTTTAGGAAATCATCTCTATACAATGGGCTCTTGATAGCCATTGGGATTTGGTTCCAGGATCCTCCATGGATACCAAAATCTGTGGATGCTCAAGTCCTATTAAATATAGTGGCATAGTAAAATGGTTTAACGTATATAAAATGGCAAAATCAAGGTTTGCTTTTTGATAAATATAAATATATATTGAATATTTTCAAGCAGTGGATGATTGAATCCATGGCTACAGAGGGGTGACTGTATATACAAAGAGATTCTCTTTGAATTGCCATATTGGCTTCTAGAGAATTCTGAAGAAGTAAAGGCTGAGATACTGTTAAATATCTGAATGATTGTCACAAGGAAGATTGAGCAAGCTTGACTTAATGCTGCTTCAGAGGACAGGACCTGAACTAATGGATTCAAATAACAAGAAAAGAGATTCTGATTAAATATTAGGGACAACTTCCTGATGCTAAGAGCTATTCAATGTTTGAATGCACAACTGTGTAAGATGGTGGACTCTTCTGCATTGGAGCCTTTAGCTGTGAGTTTCTCTTTTGGCAGATGGTTAGGTTAGATGACCCCTTGTGTACATTTCAACACTACAGTTCTATGATTCCATCAAAGTGTGAACACACATCTTTTCTTTACTGTTCTGGTTATTCTTTATTATCTTCTTATTGTTGTTGGATGCTGGTTCATTAGAAAGCAATTTCTATGGAGGTAGGGTGGTGATCTGGCAGAACCTATGCCGATCAATCTCTCAAGATTGGAGCAAACCAATGACCGTTACTCAATACTCCTACAAATGTTCATATTAAATCCTCAGGAGTTTAGGATGGTTGCCTGTCAAAGCACCAACACTCATGCTCAACATCAATTGGTTAACTAGTGTAAATGTCAAGAAATGCTTGTGTATATGGGCAGCATGACATGGAGTTTGGAGGAAAACAAAAGGAACAACATCCAGTTAACATCTTACTATAAGGTAAGTTGCTGTGTGGGAAGCAGCTGGTGATGATAATAACAGGCCAATATCAAGAAAGCCAGAGTGGTGCAGTGGTTTTAAACATTTTACTATGAGTTTGGAGACCAGTGTTCAAATCTCTGCTTGGCCATGGAAACACACTGGGTAACCTTGGGCAAGTCACTCTCTCAGTCCCAGAGGAAGGCTAAGGAAAACCCATTCTGAACAAATCTTGCCAAGAAAACCCTGTGATAGGTTTGTCTTAGGGCCACCATAAGAAAGGACTTGAAGGCACACAACAAATCATAATATCAGGATAAAGGAGCTCTGACTAAGTATGTACCTGGCAACATGGACAAGAAATGAGAAAATTACAAGACTGTCCCAGATATTTTAGTGCCTGAGGTAGAGCAGCCAATGGCACTCCCCACTCACCTAAGTCAAAACACACAGTACTCAAAGCCAGCCAAAATTATTTTGGAACATATGGAACAGAAAATTCCACATGCAGCCCTCCCCTACCATACAAAATATAATACAAGTAAAGTAGATAACGAACTATTTGCTTCCCTTCAATGACACTCAAGACGTTTTGCCTGATGTGGCTGCCTCACATGCCTAGTGGTAGAGCTGGCCCTTAACACTAAACAGCCATTTTTCATGTATACCTTCAGAGATTCTGTTTTTCCTTCAAGGGAAAGTTACTTTTTTAAAGAAAAAAATATGAAGCAATTGCATTTAAACATCCAAAAAAATGATAAGAATGGAGCATATAAAGTTGTTTTAAAAAGTTGTTTTGTTACTCCTTACAGTTTTCAAAAAGTAAACCATACTCTTATTTGATGATTTAAATAGTGAATTCATTACAATGCTTCTGCCACTGCCTGTTACTTTTCTATTATTTTCTGTTACTTTTTTGATGGGGGAAAAGCTTAGTATTGATAAAGGAATGTCATAAAATTTGAAAACTATTTGTAGAAGTGCCTCTTACAATGGTCTTAACTATCAATATGGAAACTTTGCTCTAAATTGTTTTACTGACTTTCAGAAATTAAAATTTTGATATATTAACCTTTCAAAGAACATAGTGACAGTTGTGTATAGGAAATACATTTGTCCTTCCACATTCACTGGGGTTAGGGGCACAGGACCCCTGTGAAAGTGAAAAAAATACAAATAAATAAACAGTACCTTTTAAACCTGGGAACAGCTCTCTAGGAATTTCTAGGTCCTCCAGCAGAATTCTGTGGTCAACATCTGCCAGAGTTTTGACCACAGAATCATGTTTCAGGACCTACAAATGCTTAGAGAAATGTTTTCACTAGGAATCTTTAGGTCATCCAGTGCAACTCTATGATCAACTCCCAGCAGAATTTCTCTAGAAATTACTAGAGATTAATCAAATCTGCAAATAATTAAATCTACAAAAGCCAAAGGCTCATATGTGGAGGGCCAAGTGTACTCTTCCATATTTCAGGGAACACTACTTGTCACATTTTATCTTGCAGTGGCTGATTCATGATTTGGAGCTGAAACTGATTTTCCAGAATGAATGCCCTGGGAGTTAACAAACAAGAAAAAAGAAAGAATGGTGTGTTGTTGTTTTTCCAAAAGAAATTGTGCACTGAGTGCCTTTGTGAAGCTTGGAAATCACTGCTTCCATCACACATAGCTAATTTTACTGGAAATAGCTACATATAGCAGAATTTTGGGCAGCTTCCTTAGCAACAGAAATAGAGTTCCAACTACTGCAATCTAGTGAGGTTTTTGTATATTCAAAGTTTATGAGAGTTGACTCCTCAAAATAATTATGAAGCCACGCTTAAGGAAAAAATGTAATTCCAACAACAGAAGTGCAGTGCGGATTACAAAAGTCCTTGTGTCTCATCTGCATAAAGAGAACCCTGATTAAAGCAATGCAATGCAAATTATGTTTTTTTTATTTAATGCAAATGACCTACATTCCAATCAAACAAATTACTGTCTATCCATAACATATTCATTTTGTTTTAAATCCTCTACTTCTTTTTAATGTAATGCAAATTACGTGTTTTGTTATGACCTACATTCCAATCAAACAAATTACTATCTATCCATAACATATTCATTTTGTTTTAAATGCTCTACTTCTTAATCTTATCCTGTAAATGCAGATTCTTGTATATATGAACTGATGGATGGAGCTGAATGCAACAACTATAATCAAAAGAAGAATTTTTACAGATGCATTACAGCAGGAAATACTCCTAATTTTACACACAGGAATTTCCTGAATCCAATATGTCATTTATTCCTGGCAAAGTCTCTCCTTTGTCTATGCATACTTCATGTTTTCCGCAAGCAGAGCAGCAGTAACTTACATAATTCAAGAACATATTTGTGCCAGATTTATCTACTATGCACAATAAAGGCTAATTAAGCATTTCATCTTCCCATTTCAACTTTGGGCTGGATAGGATGTGCTTATGCAGTAAGTATGCCTAATACTTTATGGAAGAGACTTGACTTTGACTGATTTTTTAGTAGGGGAAAGGTGAAACACAGAATATTCATAAAAGGACCATTATTTCCAAGAGAGTTTTAAATGTTTTAATGTTTTAAACTCTGGATTCTGTTGTAAATGTAGCTAGAGTCAGTTCAGCAGTTTAATTCCATTAAAATCTTGAATTTTGCATATACAGTCGCCCCTCTGTTTTCTTGAAAATAGAAAATCGTCAATATTCAAGACCCATTGGCTTGAATAGTGGTGCGCGCCCATGAACAGGCGAGGGATGCGAACTCCAAGTCTGTGAAAATGGAGGCATGATTGTATACAAACTATTTAAACATGTCTCCAGGAAGAATATAAGAAAATTGCAAAATGTCCAGTCCCTGGCATTTCCAGTTTAGTTTCATGTAGCAGACAGGAAGGAAAATTTCTGCCTGAGAATCTGGGGAGCCACTGCTGGGTCAGACTAGACAATACTACACAAGGAAATTTAATAGAAAAGGGTTAATGTGCTTAGTTAATCATAAATAAACTAAACAATCCAATTGAATTACATTTATGTTAGGAAGGGTGAAAATGTAACTATTTGCATTTGTAACTAAATGCAAAGGGATATTGCAGAAATTTTGATACTAACTGAAAGGTAGTGGTTTTGTATACTTTGGCCTACTGCTTCAGATGCATCTGGACTGGAACTGCATCTGAGGAAGTAGTCTCAGTTCTATGGAAGCTCATGCTACCAACCTCTTTCAGTTAGTCAAAGCTGCTGCAAGATCCTTTTACATATTAATTTTCCAGACTAACATGGCTGCAGCCCCAAGGTTAAAAGCTTTAAAATTCAATTTCTAGGTACAAATGAGCCACCTTTATGCAATTTGTATAAAACAGGAGAGCACCTGAATGCAGAGAAAATTATCTCCTTTCCAAGTTGCCCTAACTACTAGGATTGCCTGAGTGAGAACTAGAATTGGCTCTTGTACCTTTAAGGGCTGTGTAAAAGGGAATTTCAGCAGGTGTTACTTGGTTGTGTAACAAGCAACACCTGCTAAAATTTTCTCTTGCATGCAGCTATTAAAGGTACAGGAAGCCTTCTACTGTTTTCATTCTTACTACCCTAGCCTCTACCTACATGTTGGCTTCAAATGTTAGGATTAACCTAATCTAGTTTAAGCATGAATAAAAATAAAGATTTCCTACAGGAATTTGCATTTGAAATGGTTTGAGTCTTCTGACCTAAACTTT